TTATTTGCCTTTGTATTCCCAGCACTTCATGCATTTTTAATACATGTAATTCCTCCACAAGTGAATTAAAACACTGGGTCAGAGACTGAGCACATTAGAAAGTCATCTTCATCAGAAGTGTGATTCATTGAGAGGATTATTTAGCTTCCCAGAACACAACGGCTGAGAGACTAAGCATTCTAGCCACACACAATCCAAGTAATTCCCAATTACATACCATAACAATTTCTGTGTTCTTTTGAATTAGGAAATACAAAACCCAACCCCCTGTATTTTTCAATAAAGATAACATGAGATGATGCAGTGAAACTTCAAAGGGAAGAGAAACATGTCTTCAAATTAAAGCAATATTGTTTTAAATCTTGATTGTATCATTAAATAACTGTGTGCCCTGAAGATTGTTATTTTTTTAATCTGTAAAATAAGTATAAGGGCCAGGGTTGTGGATCAGTGGTAGAGTGCTTGCCTGGCATGTGTGAGGCACTAGGTTCCATCCCGGGCATCAGATAAAAATAAACAAATGAAATAAAGGTATTAAAAATAAGTACATAAATATTTATTTCATGAAATTATTGTGGATTAAATATCATAATGTGTGAAAAAATGTACACAGTTCTTAAAACATAATAGGTAACTAATGGTATATTATAGACACACAATTGCTCATAACAGTGAAGACATCAATCAATATAGGAAACAATTTTTAAATTTACATTACCAGGATTCTAAAAGTATTTCCATTTAAGTAGAAATAATACTAATTTATTTAAAATAAGTTGAAAATCATATTTATGAAACAAATAATTATCCAAATGAATAGTTATACAAAATTTGTAAAAGTTATAAAAACTTCCCAGCCCTGTAACAGAGATCAAGGTATCAGGTGTGCTATAACAACTGTTTTAAAATTTAAAAGTACTAGGCTGGGATTGTAGTTCAGTGGCAGAGCACTTGCCTAGCATGTGTGAGGCACTGGGTTCAATCTTCAGCATCACATAAAAATAAACAAATAAAATAAAGGCATCTATCCATCTATAACTTCAGAAAAAAATTAAAAGTACTATTTAACCACAATAATATCAATAATAATAATAATAATAAAGTAATTAAGAATTCTGAAGTTAATTTTGATAGCTTACAGGAAAATTGTGGACAAATTAATTGATAAAATTTTTTTCTGTTATTGGCAAAAATGAGAAAATGTGGCTTTGTGATATTATTAGTAATGGTTTTCATTACGTCTGTGCTATCTGGGAAAGGAGAATATAAATCACTATGAACTTATGGTTTGTTATATTGCTACTGTACAAAATAGAAAAAAAATTTTCCCTTGAAATTTTCATTTTAATATAATGTTGTTTCAAGAAAAAAAAATCAACTTTTTATAAATTCCATGACCTCCCTATATCTATTAGATATTTCATTCTATAATATGATTCAGGGCTGAAGGGAAACCTAAAATTTGGGTTATTGCCAAAAAAGCTAACTAATTAAGAAAACACACCACCAGAGATTCTTAATAGTTCATATTTTCACTGTTTTTGTTTAATATACTATAAATATATATGTATAAATATATGCATATATATAAATACATTTACTGCTTTATTTGTACATACATACATACATACATTGACTGTTTTTATGTAGGAAAAATAATGTGAAATTTTTGAAGAAGATATACTTCACCAAGCTAAATATATCAAAATAATTCCTGTAAGAGAAAACTTAAGAAAGTCTTAACTAAATATGAAATAAAAGTTGATCTTTATTCTGTTTGTAACAGTTAGTGCATCCTTAGAAGCGTGAGGTCAATGTCTTCAGGATCATTTATAAATATTCCTCATATTGAAATAGTAGCTGAATTCACAATAGCTACACTGTGGTACCAACTTAGATGCCTATCAACAGAGGAATGTATAAAGAAACTGTGGTATATATATACAATGGAATATTACTCAGCATTAAAAGAGAATAAAATTATGGCATTTGCAGATAAATGGATGGAATTGGAGACTATTATGCTAAGTGAAGCAAGACAATTCCCAAAAAAGTAAAGGCTGAATGTTTTCTCTGATTAGTGGATGCTGATTTATGATGGGAAGGGCATGGGAAAAATGGAGGAATTTTGGGCTGGGCAAAGGGGAGAGTGGGGACGATTTTGGGGGGCAGAAAAGATGGTGGGATGAAATGGACACCATTACCCTAGTATATGCATGATTGTGTGAATCATGAGTCTTTATACTGTGTACAACCAGAGAATTGAAATATTGCCCTCCATCTGTGTACAATGAATTGAAATGCATTTTGCTGCCATGTACAACTGAGTAGAACAACAACAACAAAAACAAAATAAATAGTATTCCATTGCCATTGTGTATGGCAGGTGTCAGAGTATTAGACCTGCTATATTAGCAATGTTACTTTCTTTGTTCAAGTTGAATAATTTCTCATAGATTGTTTCCTTATCTGTAAAGCTATAAAATGTAATCATATGAAAGGCACATACCCTTGATAGTTAGCCTCAGGGGGTACCAGGGAGCTTTCCTGTGTTTGGATAATATGTATATCCTCTTTACTGGAATTATATTTTAGGAGAGGTTTTACCAAGATTATCTGTTTAATTCATGTAGCATTGGTCGGGGGAACTGATGAAATTTTGGTGTAGTTGAATAGAGGTATGTGTTAGTTAACATCTGTTGTTTGGTTTTCTCAATCACTAAATGAAAATACAAGGGACCATAAGAGAAGCTGTTAAGCTGTAGTAACAAACAAGTCTCAAGCCTCAGAGGCTTATAACCATCAATATTTATTTCTCACTCAGGCTATATGTCCACTGTGATTCACCTGTGGTCCTGTTCATGTCACCCTCACTCTAAAAGTAAAATAATTGAGTAAACTTTCAGCACTATTGGCCTTTTGGCAGAAAGACAAAAGAGACACCATCAACTGCAATAACACTAAACCTTCTGCTTGGTAGTGACATGTGTCACTTATTTTCTGGAAGCCAAAGTTTATCCCAGTACACAGCTGAATTCAACAGGTCAGGGATGTACAATCCTGCAGAAAAGAGCATTATAGGTATTATGACCAAGTTAGAAGTTAGTGGTGTGAGAAGTGAGAAGTATAATTCCTGGACAGGAATGAGAGGACTGACATGGAGAAAAATTAGACATACCCTTATCTGTTGATAGTAATTACAGAATTATTGCAAAGATGAAATGAGAGTAAATTCTTTAAAATTATGTTTTCATTATTTTGTTAATACCTGGGTTAGACAGCTTTTCAAACTTAACAAATATCTGAGATAATCAGCTTACACACAGAAAAGGTTGACTGGGCTCACAGTGTGGGAAGTTTCAGCCCAGGGTCAGCTGACCTCATTACTTTTGGACTAGTGGCACGGCAGCAAGCTACTTGCCCCGTGGCATCCTGGAAGCAAAGAGAGAGGAAGAAGGCAATGGAGTCCCACCATTCCCTTCAAGGGCATGTTTCCAGTATCCTAAATATTCTCCCACCAGGCCGTACCTTTTAAATTTTCCACCACCTGCCGCTAGTGCCACAGGCTGAGGACCAAACCTTAACACATAGACCTTTAGGGGACATTTAAGATCCAAACGATGGCAATACCTAGTAAGGATCAAAGGAGACGGGGCTGCATTTCCTAAGATGTGTAGGTCTGAATCAGAAGAGATCTGAATGGAGGGTGTAGAAGACCAACTAAACACATTAAGAAAAGGGTTGGATATCTACTACTGGAATATTCTTGAATATATTTATGAAATATATGTAAACAACCTAGTGGAATACAGATTTATTTGATTCTCCCAATGTTCACATTTAGTCTTTTGGGCCCTTTTCACTGGAACACTAGAGATTTACTAAAAGAGGGTATATTCTAAGTCTAGGATAATATTTCTTAAATAAGGGCAAGGTTACTACTGTGTAATAAAAAAAAATTGTTACATTTGATGACTCCTAGATAAATATCTACATGACTGCGTCTTTGTACCACAAGTTGGAATTAAGCTCAATCCTTACACTTGATAAGTACACAGGTGCGGCAGGGACTATTAGCTAGGGGATCAGTTTTTTTTTTTTTTTTTCTCAGTTTTAGATTTGTGCTTTCATCTTCAGTTTTCTCATATACAAAATAAAGGCAGGGGGTAATTGGATCTCTTGGTCCTTTCTTCTAATCTTATAATTTGATAAATATATTCTTCCTGTCCTTTAAAAGAATATGTGCAGAGGATGAGTCATTCACTCGTGATTTGATGATCATGTAATCTTTGACAAAATTCTTGGAATAAGATATTCTGTTTTTTTTCCCCCATTTAAACTGAAAGAACAGGAACATGAGAGTGTATAATGCTTCTAGTTTTTTTTTTCCTTCAAATATTTCTTCCTGTATCTTTCCTTAATATGTGTGTGTGTGTGTGTGTGTGTGTGTGTGTGTGTGTGTGTGTGTGTGTGTTTGTGTACCGGGGATTGAACTCAGAGGCATTCAACCAGTAAACCACATCCAGTCCTATTTTATATTTTATTTGGAGACAGGATCTCACTGAGTTGCTTAGAACCTTACTTTTGCTGAGGCTGGCTTTGAACTCATGATCCTCTTGCCTCAGCCTCCTGAGTTGTTAGGATTACAGGCCACCGCACCCGGCCCCCTTATTCTTTTATATAAATGCATTTTTATATATTCTACTAGGCTATTATGACCTTTCCACTAATTTTTACTTTTTGTTTTAGGGTTTGGTAGTTTAAGGGTACTACACAAATCTAGGGGACACCATTCATATTTTTAGCCTGTAGTTTTTGTGACTTTTAATAGCAATGTGAGAGTAAAGATTCACTTTAACATTGAAATCAATATTGCACATTATATTTTTGGCACCAAATTCTTAATTTTCAAATATTATTATATCAGATACCTCATAAGATAAAGGCACTAGTTTTTTGATTAAAATTTCTATCACCTCAATTTTTTTTTAATTATTTAGTGTTGATAAAGCAGATGACGAAGATGATGAAGATTTAACAGTGAACAAAACATGGGTCTTGGCACCAAAAATTCATGAAGGAGATATCACACAGATTCTCAACTCATTGCTTCAGGGCTATGACAATAAACTTCGTCCAGACATAGGAGGTAAGTTTGAGTTTTCCTTCAGGGATTTTGATGAGTATGAAAAATATCTTCACTGATGCTATTTTAAATATTTATCTCATATTCTTTTGAGTATCTCCTGTATGTCAGAGGCCATGTTGAGTTTGAAGGTTATTGGTTGAAATAGTTACTGTTCAGAAGTTTACAGTCTGGGGTAAGACAAAAGACAAACAGTTACAACATAATTATTTTATAACTACTATCTTAAAAGTGCTACTTCACAGTTATGATAAAACTTTCTGAAATACTGAGCAGTATTTCATAAAAGAGTCAATGTTTGAAAATAATTGAGAATTCTGGTTTTATGCCAATTCTGTTTTTGTTGTGGGTTTGTTTGTTTGTTTGTTTTTGTTTTGTTGGTACTGACAATTGAACCCCAGAGTACTTTGCCACTGAGCTATTACCCCAAACCTTTTTAAGTTTTATGTTGACACAGGGCCTATTGAGTTCCTAGAATTACAAGAATGTGCCACCACACCCAGATTCCATGCCCTTTTGATTAACCTTGTCTTGAGGACACCTTAACTGGAAGTAGTCAACTAGTTATTCAAGAGACTAACTAGTTATTACTCTCATTTCATTGTGATTTTGTAAAAAATGTATAACATAATTAACTTGCAAGTTTTCCTCTATTATGGTTTAAGACAGACAAACATAAATGAACAAAGATTTTCTTGAATTGGATTAAATTTGTAGTCAACAAAATACAAATTGGAATCGTTGCCATATTGAACTTTTGCCATGCCAAATTCCTGAACATTCTATTTTTTTCTATTTATAGATTTTACTTTCTAAATTATTTTCTCATTAATAGTGTTAGCATTTTTGTTATATTTAATTGTATATAATTGGAGGTTGATGCAAGAATGAACAGGTTCTTTAAAAAAGGTCTATTCTAATTTTTAGTTTTTAGTATGTACCAACAGAGTAGACTATTTTCATATATACTCTGATCTCAAGCCTTGCTAAATTTATTAATTTTAATTACTTATTATTGGGTTCCTCTGGATTTTGTTTTTTCAATTGGGAATTGAACCTAGAAGTGTTCTTCTTCTGATTTACAACCCAGCTCTTTTTAAAATTTTATTTTGAGATAGGCTCTTGCTAAGTTTCCCAGGCTAGCCTTGAACTTGTGAACCTCTGCTTCAGGCTTCAGCCTCCAGGGTTCCTGAGATTATAGGCCTGTGCTACATTGCCTAGCGCATCCACTGAACTTTTTGTAAGGTAGAAAATAGTGGCTATTTTTGCAAGTAGTGAATGTTTTGCTTCTTTATTTCAAAAATCATACATTTTCATACCATACTGTTCTGAATAAGATTAAAGTACAAGGTTGAATATTTTTATTTCTTATATCAGAGAAAGCAATTCATATTTTACTAGTCAGTATGATGTTTGCTCTGGGCTTCTTTTTTAAACCATCCTCTGGTGATTACCTTCTGTTCTTATTTTGTTAGACATCCCCAACCCTCATGTTTCAAATACTTTCTGTGCAAGGATTGAAGTAATCATATTGGTCATATTTTGCTTTTTATTTCTATTTACTGTTCATGAAATAATTTTTCAATTTTTTAAAATTTTCATTCCTTTTGTAAATGACGTTTGATTCTGATATAGTAACTTTTAAAATTTATCAATAGGTTCAATTTGGTAATATTTTGCTTTGAAATTCTGTATGCTCCTGAGGAATATGATATTACTTTCTACAATGTATTTTTCCTTTTGGAAACAAATTGTACAAGCATCTACTAGTCTAGCTATGTGTTTCCTCCTTTTTTATCTCTGAGTTTATCTAAGATGGATGATATTTCTTCCTTAAATATTTAAAATAATTCTGGTTTTGTGCCAATTCTGGTTTTGTTGTGGGTTTCTTTGTTTGTTCTTGTTTTTTTGGTATTGAAAATTCTACTGAATTTGTCAGAGTCATGTTGGCTTAGAGGGATTTGGGGGGAAGATTTTTAACAGTTCATTATTTTAAATATATATAAAATGTGTGAGCTTAATATTTTTCTTTTCTCAGGTTCAACAAGTTAAACTTTATAAGGAATTTAACCTAAACTTTTCAAATTTACTAGTATTGAATTGAACATTATTTTGGGGACATATTTAATCTTATGATGAGTTTTTTCTTTTTTATTTGTTATTAGTAATCTGTTCCATCAATTGTGAATTAATCTTGATTTTTTTTTCTAATTTTATTAGTATTTTTCACAGAAACAAATTTAGACTTTTTCAATTTCCTGTGTTAAACAATTATCTTAAATTTCATTGTTTTATAATGTCTGGTTTATTATTCATTCAAATCTCTTTTCATTTAATTTTCTGTTCCACTAGATTGCTTAAATCATTTTATTTGAAAATAAATTTTACACTGAGTAATGTAGTATCTGTACATGAACTTTAATTTTCCTGGTTTTTTTTAATGACTATAATAATTTCAAAGAGTACTGGCCAGTTGAGTGGCTCTGAATTTGAGTTTTTCTGATGTTTTTATTATGAAGATGAGGTTAAAGCATTTTAACAAAAATACCACAGTGACATTTATTACTGTGTTGTTTGCCATCATTGTATTAATTGTACTTCTACCACAAGGAAGAGCTGTATTTTCTGTTCCATTTACTTATTTGCATCATTACAAACTCATGAACACTTGTTTTATTTTGTAATTTATACACCATTAATCTATTTATGTGGTTATATGTTATTAGAGATTTAGCCTCTGGAGCCTCCTACAATTTAGTTCCTAGGTCCTATTATTTGCTAAGCTCCTGCCGTCTTTCAGTACATCAGACCCTCCAGATTTATCTTGACCCATCAATATAGCTCACTATTTCTCCTAGAATACTTAGACTTCCCCTAACCCTGCCACCTTTTAAGAATGATATTTGGAATTCAAGATCTAAGAGTTTATTTCACTCATTAAAACTGATGTCATTGCTTTGTGACCCTCTCAGTGGACAGAATTGTGTGATAAAATGTGCTCTACACACTAAGAGGCATCTCTGTTTCTCTTTTCTTTGAATGTATACTATGAATCATGAATTTGAACTGGTAGCTCTGATTCCATTTCACACCACAGGATTCAGTCCAGCCTTTATCATTTCCATATTTGTAACTCCCCTTTTCAGCATGAGAACTTGACTCTCATGTATCCTATTTGCTCAATTCTAGTAAATACATAATATTTTTTAGAACTTAATATATCCCTGCATATCATACATATTTATGAAAACAAGTTAACTAATGAATAAAATATTTATGTACAATTGTTTTATCTTTTGTTTTATAGAATATAGTCAGTATACTGTTCCCCAAATTTAATCAGGTTAGTCTTCCTTCAACCTTCCTTCCAGTGTTATTATGTTCTTCATTTTTAACACAGTTTGATCCGAGTGTTACTGGTGATATTTAATTTTCAGCTCATCCCACATTGTGGTTATTTTAAATTATTTTTGTATGCATGGGGAATTATCATGGTTTTTATAGTCAGAATCATAAGTGAATATATAATTTGTGCAATGTCTCTGTCCTAACTTACCTTCTACCTTGTTTCTATTTCTATAATGAGCTAACTAAGGTCATTAGTTTGCACTCTCTGTATTCATTTGCACAAACAAGTAAATACAGTTATATTTTCTTATATACCCTTTAGCTTACATGAAAGTCACTCTATTATTTTGAGCTCTGCTGGTTTTTACTTAGATCTTTATTTTCTTAGTATATGCATTGTAATCCCATGTGGAATTATGACTTATTCAAACATTCTTCTGTGAATGATTGTGTCCAATAGCTTGCAAATACCAAGAATGTGTGTATATAAGTTTTAATATTGTTGGACACTTAATTCATGGTGAATTCTAGACACTGGATGCGTGAAAATATATATTCATATTTAGATTTTCTCATAAGTTGACAAATTATTTTCCCAAAGACATATGCCATTTTTAATTTCTATCTGTAATATATGAGGATGCCTGTTTCCTAGCAGTCCCAACATCAGGACATATTATCTTAACCTTCAGTTTGGGCAATCCTAAGAGCTGAGAAGTGGTTTCTCATTGCTGTTTTAATTTGTGCTTTCTCTAATTGTAAGTGAGAGAGAATGCTCTATGTTTGAATTCCAATTTAATATCACTGTTGGAAATTTAATGTTCACTTTTATTTCCTATTTTTCAATGGATATTTGAGTTTTTATTCACACACACACACACACACACAAATGGAATGCAGTGTGTTCCATAAAAGATGTTCATGTCCTAATCCCCAAAACCTGTGCATGTAACTTTAGTTGGAAGGATGATCTTTGCAGATAAAATGGAATTAAAGACTTTGAGATTAGGAAATCTTTTGGAATTACCTAGAGGGTCCTAAATCCAACTACAAGAATCTTTATAGGATAGAATACATAAAGGGAGGAAACACATGCACAAAGACAGACATGTAGAGGAGGAAAAAGAGACATAAAAGTAGTCTGCAGAGAAATGAGGATTACTACAACTACCAGAAATTGGAATAGATTCTCCCCAAAAGTTTCCAGAGGGATTCCAAACCTTGATTTTTGGTTTGGTGTCCAGAACTATGAAATAACAAATCAGTGTAGTTTTAAGCTACCAATTTTTGATAATTCTCAACCATAGCCCTAGAAAACTAATTCAGTATTGCTTGCCCTTATTTTGTGATATATTATGCAAATATTTTCCATCAGTTTTTCAGTTGTCCTTTGGTTTTGTTTATAGAAGATTTTTGTTTATTTCTTCTTATTATATATTCAGACTTGTCAATCTTTTCTATACTATACTGAAGTAAAAGAGGAATTCATCCATTTCCTTTCTAGTGTTTGCATGCTTCTATTTTTTGTTCCATCAACTATTTGGAGTCTATAACTGTGCTCAGTGTGAAATCTAAATCTAATTTTATCCTTTCTAAATGACTGTTCTATTGACTCAGCATCATTTATTAAAAAGTCAATCTTAGCCTGTATTATT